AACTTTGATCGCCCCACCCTACCCCCAGGGGTCATGATTTGAAAAAAACTTGAATCAACACTACATTAGGATGCTTCCACACGAGTTTCATCTTTCCTGGCCCAGTGGTTCCTGAGAAGAAGATTTTTTTAAGATTTTGCCTATATACTCCTATGTAAAACTTTGATCGGCCATTGTGGCCCCACCCTACCCCCGGGGGTCATGACTTGAACAAGCGTGAATCTACACTACCTGAGGATGCTTCCACATGAGTTTCATCTTTCCTGGCACAGTGGTTCTTGAGAAGAAGATTTCTGAAAAATGCCATTAATTTTTCTCTAATTCATAATCCTTCATTTGAACAAACTTGAATCTCTTTACCTAAGGACACTTTGTGGCAAGTTTGGTTGAAATTGGCCCAGTGGTTCTTGAGAAGAAGATGAAAATATGAAAAGTTTACGCCGACGACGACAACGACAGACAACGGACAAATTTTGATCAGAAAAGCTCACTTGAGCCTTCGGCTCTGGTGAGCTAAAAATGAAACCCACATGAATTAGCATTAACTAGAGACAAGAAAAAAAAAACGATTCATTAACTGTAGTTGTCTAATTAACTGATATAGAGATAAATGTATTTTTTCGGAATTATGAACATGATATAGGATATTTACGAACACAGAAGAGTCATTAGCGACCCCATGGTGAAAACGACGTTTGCACAACAACACGAAGAAATTCCCAGAATGTAAACATGATCATGGTGCTTCACATATAAATACGTACGTTAGTAATCGTTATACTTTAGAATATAAGTATAATTTGACCTTATATTCTTAAATAACAATTACTCTAATTTGACCTTAAATATCAGATATAAAGTTACTTAGCTTAAGGTGCTCCAGGGACGTTAAGTTATTAATTTCTCACAACAAATGTACCAAAGGATCATTCTCTATAAGGCCGTTTTTCGGCCTACAATGACTTCAAATTTTCAGATAGTATTTTTTACCTTAAAAAATTCATGAATCACTAGGCTTATGTTCCAATTTAATGATAAATATTGGTTGGTTAATGATACGTTAGTATTTTTAATGATATATGGTCACAAAGTAAGGTACTATCGGTCCGTATTAGCATTCGAGTAATGGGAAAACTCAATAGGGTGGCTGTGTTAGATAACTCCTACGCATGTCATAACCACCTTTCACCAAAACCAAAATTTGCATGTAAATTTCTTATAAATATAAAAAGTGACTACCAAATTATGAATTTGGTTAAAGGTGGTTATGACATCTAAATAAAAACTTTTCTCTTCATTTTTACGATATTTGCAAAAATAGTTAACTACTCACAATGAAGGATATCAGCTTATGTAGATTATTTCTTTTTATAAATTTTTGGTTAGAGTACAAATTTCTGTTGATTTACTAAGATTAATATCAACCATGCATATTTACTAAAAAAATGTGAACTTTTTACTTAAAAATCTAAAAATCAAAGGACTGTTAGGACTGGATGTCATAAAATTTCAAGTGGAGACGTTTCTTTGAAATGTGATAAAAAATAAGAAATAAAACTTTTTACAGAATACATGGTATGAATATGAGTTATCTTTTATATCTATAATGATAGTTTAGTATATCTATATATGCTACTTCCTTGAGTTTCGTTATGAGTACTGCATATATTCTTTGTTTTTCCTTATGAGAACTGTATATGTTATAGAAATGATGAAAGCAATCTTTGTTGAAGCTGTAACATGCATTTATATTTGTGTTATAGACTCTTTTCCTAGAGGCACACACATAATTTTTATATGGACACTTCCGTACGAGTATCATGTGATCCATATTTTGTTAACTAGGTAGCTGAACGCGACTCGTAAATAGGCATAGTCCGCCATATTTCCCGTTCTTCAACGCTCTCCCTACAACTCGTATATAAGGAGCAGATCGCTAGTCAGTTCAATGTATTTCACTATAGAGATCCGACGAGTGTAGACGTATACATCTTACAAAGCGTGCTACTCAACATCGATGAAATTATCAAATTTTACGCATTTTTATCGAAACAGGACGAAAGTATCATGGAAAATGCAGGTCAATACATTATTTACAAACAGAAAATGCACATAAAAAAAAAATAAACGCAAAAAATCTAAGACCACGATAGGAGTAATACATGTCGGCCACGAGTTTCGAGTGTGCAATCGGATGGAACGAAATTGAATGGTTTATATACCCGTTTGACAGTGCCTATTTATGAGAAGTGTTCAGCTTTAATATTGAGAGGACTCAATCTTTTCATCACACTTCTTTGATAGCATCGATATAAGTTACGATAACATAAGTCCTGTCTTAGAAAATAAACTGGTAAAGAGGAGAGGGATTCATAAATGTAATATGTGATTGATAATGAATGTTGCTTTACCCCATTTAAGGATTTTTCAACCAGATAAAGAAATCATCCATTTAAGGTCAAGTGTTTATGCATAGCTGCATTACCAACCAACGCACAACGCGGGACGGGACCTTTTTTAATTTTTAAAAGAAAGATAATATCTAAAAGACCGATGACATTTACTAGAGACTGAATTTAACCTACAGGTTTCAAGAGTGGGAAAGGAGCATCAAACCCTTAGGGTCCATTTTGTACTTGGGATGTTGTAGAACTCTTAATTCTGCATACGAATAACTTCAGAATCTGATATGCATAGTTGAAGAAACTGTTAAAATTCTGCTCCATTTTATGTTGTGCCGTTAGACACGGGGGGGGGGGGGGGGGGTCTAAACTTATATACATGTAAATAAATAAAGTTTAGATGGCATTTTTAATTGAATATATCGTACAACACGAGTATTTAAATAAAAGCAAAGCCATTTTACGACGCTATTTCATTTTACTTAGAGATGTATATTTTAATGCAACCGCTCCGAGTTAAATGAATTGACTATTTACATGTATATGGATAGTCAACATATACTTGCATTGATATTCTTATGCTGTTAATTCTTTATTATTTTTTGTTGTTGCTATAATTGAATTTATTTCTTAATTACTACTTCAGTTTGATTTAATCGCAATCAATATCCATTCAGTGCTTTCAACATTTGATACATAACTTTTAAAGTTCAATAGAAACTTAGAAACCCCATTTCTAAAATGATTATTTTATGCGTAAAATAAGTACCACATCTATAGAAATGATATACAATTACAATATAATTATATATGATATAACGCTTTTCAATAAATTGCAAATCAAACTTTTTTCAGCACCATTCAGTGTAAATTCTGTAAAGATTAACGTTCAAAATATCCAAAATGTGGATGCATCGGAATTCTTGTCTTAAAAACATCTTGAACCTTAAATTTAAAAACATCTTCGAATTTATTACTAAGGTCTGGTGTATTTCTGACATAAATAAACAATTTTTGATTATTTACATTCAGAAACATGCATAGAAACTTGATTTAAATAGACGTGCCCTCAATTTTTCTTTAACTGACAGCCATTTTTTATCTCTAAATCACGTGACTTAGATGATCGATCTTGAAAAACAAACATCAAAATCATGAACTAAAATGATTATAGTTATATAAAAATCACATTTTAAAGTAATTTTATCGTAGGCCGGAAAATGCCCTTATAGAGAATGAACCTTTGAGAAGTCCATATAACTTACAGGAACCTTATTCCATATCGATTTTCGCATAAACCATTACAGCAAAGCATATTTTTTGAAATCATCTCACGGGTTTGAAAGAGATGTTAAGTGCAAATAGAACAATCAATTTTCGACCATTTGTACGAGTGGACACAGCATTTTACTTTACTTGACTTGTTTCGGTAAAGTTGACCGATTAAATGGTCTCTTATTTTAATATTTTGAATATCAAAAATACATGACATCGAAAATGAACAAAAATGTTAGCTACGAGATGTCACGCAATACTTATTGCATGTAAGACCGTAAATGACATCACATGAAGCCATTCAAACAGTCTGTGGCCTAACAAGGAGAGTAACAATTAGGGATCATTTTGCACCGGCTTTTATTGTCCGTCTGTCTATCCGCTTTCTCCTTAAACATATCCTTACCTTAACTTTAATTCTCTCTGTGCCAAGAGGCACACAAGGCCTGAACATCTTTCTTCCACCGGGACCGATCTGGGGCTGCAAGGTGTCAAAGGAGTTTCAACCTGCATTGTTTCGCTCTACCTCCACCATCTTCCGCAATGTTGTCTTGGGGCTTCCTTCTCCCCTCAGGGGTCCACCCGAGGCACAACACAGTCATCCGCGGGATCCTTTCTAAGCACATGGCCGATCCAATTCCATCTCTTCCTCCTCACCTCGCCAATGATGCTTTCTGCTTCTGCCATCTCCAGAACCGTCTTGTTTGGGATGTGCTGCTGCTATTTGACCTTAAGAATCCTTCTGAGGCACTGGGTTTGAAGGATGTCAATCTTTTTTTCCTCTGTCTTGGTAAGCTTCCAAGTCTCACATCCATAAAGTAATACAGAGAGGACCAGGCTCTTAAAGAGGGGGACTTTTATTTTCCTACTGATGTCTGATAGCAAGTGCTATCCTCTTCCTTATGTCAGTAGTCCCTCCTCCATCCTTGTTGACATTGGCGCCGAGTCAAGTGAAGCTGTCCACCTCGTCGGCATCGCTGTTTCCGACTGTCAGGCTGATTTTACTCTTGCAATTTATCTTCATCACTTTGAGTCCCCCGCGTGGAGCAGTGGTTAGAGCGTCTGCTCTAGAGTCGTGAAGTAAGGAGTTGATCCTTACGTCGCGAGTTCGAATCCCACCGGGGTTGTGGAGACCGGTCCTTCGGATGAGACCGTATAAACTGAGGTCCCGTGTCGCAGTAGGTGTTGGCATGAAAAAGGTCCCTCACTGCTCAATCATCCTCAGTGTTGAGTATAGGACAAAATTTGCAGCTCTCCACCGGCAAGTGGTGGCGTCTCTATAAGAGTGAAAAATTCTTCAGAGGGACGTTAAACAATATACAATCAATCAATTATTACTTTGCACTTCTTGGCATTCAGCTTCAACCGAACTTTTGCGGATTTTTCTTCCAGTTTTGTTGTTTTAGACTGAAGATGGTTCATTGCTGAAGACAGTAAGGCAGTGTCGTCCGCAAAGTCAAGGTCTTCAAGCATAGTGGTGAAGTCCCATCTAATTCCTGTTCTGTTTCCTCGTACAGTCTGTTGCATCACCCAGTTTATCACTAGAAGGAACAAGAAGCCTGACAGTTTTAAACCAATAATCACAGGAAAAGAGTCTTTGGTCTCGTTGTTATCGATCACAGTATACTGATAATTGTCTTACAGGGCCTTGACTTTTTGTGCATTCCATATCTCTTCATGATGACCCAAAGGCTGTCTCTGTGCACCGAGTCCACAAAATGGATGTACAGTGTAGCATTCCACTCGTTGACTTGTTCTATGATGTTCCTGAAGATAAAGATCTGGTTGACAGTCCTTCTCACTCTCCGGAACTCTGTCTGCTCTATCCTCAGGGTGCAGTCAACTCCAGCCTGTATTCCGTTAATGACGATCCTGCTGAGTGCTTTGCTGCCTTGGGGCAGCAATTTGACTCCCCTCCAGTTGCTGCAGTCTTGTAAGTTGCCTCTCTTCGTAAATTTGCAGATCAGTTCTCTGGACCATTCTTTGGGCACACTTTCCTCCTTCGATATTTGGTCATAGGTTCGCTACAATTCCTGACTGCTCTTATCATGGTCTCACTTTAAAATCTCTGCAGTTATTTGATCTGCTCCAAGGGTCCTTCCCATTTTGAAGCTTCTTCTGGGTAACCCTTATTTCCTGCATTGTGGGTGGCTCAACTGATATGTCTAGCTCTTCTCCCTCCTCCTGTTCATCTTGTGGTGGTGATTCTGGAGTGTCTATGTTGAGTACTTCCTCAAAAATGTTCGCTCCATCTGGCAAGCCTTGCTTCTTTATTTTCGGCAGCTCTCCATCTTTGCTCCTTACCGCTGCTGCTTGTTAATTACTCTTTTTTGTCAGCTGCTTTACTATGCTGTGGTCGCCCGTGTGGCGCAGTGGTTAGAGCGTCTGCTCTAGAGCCGCAAAGTTAGGATTTGATCCTTACGTCGCGAGTTCGAATCCCACTGTGGGACGTGGAGACCGGTCCTTCTGATAAGACCGTATAAACTGAGGTCACGTTTCGCAGTAGGTGCTGGCACGAAAAAGATCCCTCCCTGCTCAATGGCCCTAAGTGCCGAGTATAGGACAAAATTTGCAGCTCTCCACCAGCAAGTGGTGGCGTCTCCATATGAGTGAAAAATTCTTGAGAGGGACGTTAAACAATATACAATAAATCAATCAATACTATGCTGTACAATTATTTCTGCCTCCCGTTCTCGGCTGCTTTCTATGCTCGCTCAGCTATCTCTGCCATCCATCTCCTCTTGTCCTCTCTCTCGCACTTTTCTTGGATGCTTTGTCTCCCTGTAATTTTCCTTCAACCTTGTCTTGACTCTTCCTGGTCTTGTGCTCTCTATCTTTGTCTTGATGTCTTTTCTTTCATCTATCAAGTTCCAGGTGTTTTCGTTGATCCAAGGTTTGCTTTTGCCTTTCCTGTAGCCAATTACTTCCTGTGCTGAATTCACATTTGCCCTTTTCTGCTGTTCCCACATTTTCTCAATATCTTCAGTCTTTCCCCTGTGCTCTTCTAATTTCTTTCTCATACAGTCATTGAACTTTGCCTTTTCTTCGTTTTAAGGCTTTCTATATCCAATCTTGCTTTCAACTTGTTCTTATTCTTGTGTGTGCTGAGCCGTAGCCTGATTCGGGTCTTCACCAGGTAGTGATCGATTTGGGCATCCGCTCCCCTCTGAACCTAGGTGTCAAGAACAGAATATCTCCACTGTCCATTGATGAGAAGATGGTTAATCTGGTTTCTCGCTAGTCCAGAAGCAAACACCCATGTTGCTTTGTGTATGTCTTTGTGGGGAAACAATGTTACTGTGATTTTACAAGTCCGTTGGTCTGACTAAATTCACACAGTCTTTCTCCATTCTCGTTCTGTGTTCCCAGTCCATGGATACCCATAGTTCTTTCATATCCAATTTTTTCACTCCCCACCTTGGCGTTGAGGTCCCTCATGATAATAATGATGCCGTTCTTATTACACCCATCCAAGGTCTCTTGCAACTTCCGATAGCATTCGTCTTTCTCCTCCTATTCCTTTTCATTTAAGGACAAACGAGACGTTCCTTAATAATAGATGAAATTTTCCAAGATTTTGTCATTGAAGTATTGCTACTTAAACAAGTTTACTCACAAAAATTTGAGGTACCTTACCAGGCATTTCTGCAAGATACCAGGAGTAGTTTTTTCTTATATAATCCTTTTGGGAGGAAAAATAATTTTCCAATTTCAAATGTTTAAGTGTTTGGATTTTTTAAAGACGTTTAGAAACTGGTATAGAAATCAGAATGTAATTAACATTTTGAATATTTTTCATACATTACGAAGATATACAAAACAGATTTTGAGGAACGTCCCGTCTGACCTTAATGTGGCGAATATGCTTGGATCATCGACATTAAACATACAGAGATAACGAAAAGTATTCAAGCTCAAAAGTCTATTAAACAATACATAATATGAGCAGATCTAGAGCATACACGGACCTCTACAACATCAGAGGTGGGATCAGGCGCCATGGAGGAGTGAGGATCCCCTCCCGACCGGCTACACCCGCCTTGTTCTCTCTCATGATCAGGAAATAACGGAATTCATCGACAATTCAGTGTTTAAATACATGTAGTGGCCTTACAATCAGCATGAAAAACTCCAGTCAGCATTAAATATCTTAATATTTACATTTCTAAATTATTTTCTTCATTTAAGATTCTTTTCTATTTTGAGAACAGTTCATTTTCTCATACACTACTAGGTACCTTGCATATGCAAAAACATTTCTACTATAATTATGACGACAAAGACTGTTATGTTTCAAAAATGGTCATTGAATAACATTAATTTGTGGCAAATCATCAAACAAATGAAGTAAACATGATTTGAAAAAAAAAAAAGAAGATATTTACAAGGTTCATGTCAAGATGAACTTCAACGCATTCGGCATAATTTATTTATATTTACATTTCCAATGTCTTTGTCTGAGATAAAATTACAAATTGTAAATGTACTTTATTTCCCCATCAATGTATTGGCGCGGTTCCAAAAAAAACCACGTGCAGGGCGGAACAAACAGCTAGACAGAAGCAGGACTTCGAGCACGTGGATTGACGGAATCAGAGCATGTAAATATAAGGAATAACTGTCTTATTTTTCAATTTCATGAAGATGATCAATCGATTGGCTTGCGTGATAATTTTATGCATAAACGCCTTCGGCGTTTATGCAAATTATCACGCAAGCCAATCGATTGATCACTTCATGAAATCGAAAAATAAGACAGTTATTTCTTAAATCAAGAAACGTTTGCAAGCTTCATGAAATACGCCGAGATAATGTCCTCATGAATTTTCAAAAATCAAATAAATGTAAGGGGTGGGAATTTCATATTTAAACTGTATTGCTCTGCGTAGGGAATTTTGTATATATGACAAAGTTACTGATCTTGTGACCTTGAACTTGACTTTTGACCAGCTTTTCTGAATAGCTCATATTTAGCACGGTGAGAAGTAGAACTGGGCTACTTCACATTCATATTGCTTGCAACGTGACATTTTGAATAAAAAAGCTTGACAGTCCATTAAACTTTGACCTTTGACCTATTTCTTTTGTAATATAGATTTTTTTGATAAATATTCCTTCACGCAGTAATGCAGTCTTACTGCGCATCTTTTCAGGCCAATATATGAATTATAATATCAGTGTTAAATCAATAGCAGTAATTTGTTGCTTTACGTTTGCTTTATTTACCTATGTTCTTGAAAAAGCAATTTTTGGTTCATTTGTTTTCATTTTTCGCCTCGGGGATACTCTTTTGATAAAAGAGATTTCAAAATAGAAACTCTCTGTGCAGGTGTACCGACAGCAATCAATAATTAATTATTTATTCTTACTTATCTTTGGTACGGCGTTAGGCAGATCGATCCAACTGCAGCTCTTATTTGTGTCGAAAAAAACAAGATTTTAATCTTTACTTGAACATTTAATCATCATTAACATCTTTATGAGATGGGTCTTTCGTTGCGTTTCACTTACGTGAAATACGAGTTTGTTTTTTTGCTTGTTTGTTTGTTTGTTTTTTGAGGGGGGGGGGGGGGGGGTAATTCTTAAAAAAAGGAGATGGATGTTCAACAGATATTCAGACATCAATATGTAAGCAGGGTGGTCTTTTAAAACTGAGATAGCAGATTAATGGCCTGAATAGTTTGTGTGAAATCAGTACCATTTTCTCTTGAGTACAATAAACGAAAGTTTAATTCATTCAGTTTCTTGGATCAACTTTAGAAAAAAAAACTTAATTTTATTATAGTGATGAATCATTTGCATTCTCTAGTGTTAATTAGTCCTCTGTAGCTTTAGAGGAGAGCGTGTCTTAAATCTAGACCTGTGGGCCATTTTCATAAATTTGATTCTGAGTTATGATCGCCATTATTTCTTGCTTACACATCCAAATTTATGATCGCCATTATTTCTTGCTTACACATCCAAATTGTGATAAAAACTTATGTTTTATAACAAACATAAAAATACTATATGAAAAAAATTAAATTCAAAATCGGTCATTCTAGTCTACTGATTCGTATTTTGTTTATATACAAATCCAAAGTTACGAACACAAAATTACTTTAAACTATCACAAAAAAACTAAAAACATGACTTTTGTGTACTAATATATCTCACCTTTTTAATTTATTCTTTGATCTTTCATCACAATACACAGAGATGCTTGGTAAATTCGATGTTGTTATAATGTTGTTATCAGATTCTGAAGCTAACTCACAATTATGTAGGATGAGCATACCAACTGTAAGAAAAGATCCAGGTGAATGAAATTTTATTGTGATTATTCCCCTACACATGACCCGACAAAAGGCATGCTCTTAGAATTGGTTCCATGCAAAACAAGAGCATTAATTTAAGTGCCCAGGGTAATGCTAATGGACATCAGCTGTGTAATGCACGTGATCATGCACGCGAGGTACACAATACACAATGCCATATGAAGAGCTGTGCAACTTAATTTGCTAAGGAAAGTGTAAAGGAATAAAAATATGTATTTATAAATAATAATATAAAAAATATCTAACTTAAGTGTAAAAATTTGTTAAGGATATCCACAGCTCAGCCAGGAAGGATAACTCTAAATTTATTATTCAATTCAAAAGGTTTCAAAATGAAGCTTGAAATACATGTAAGTATAAAAATCATGCGATTTTGCACAAATACCAGAATACCTTACATATTTACCATAAAATATTTATATTGATAAACTTTCAATCAGAAAATATGCAATTCCTGAAAATTTAGGTGTGATTTTCTAATTTTCTCTTTGTTATATGATTACTAGATAAATAATTTTTATGATAATGTTTGAAGAATTACCTTGACAGTGACGTTATCTTTTGTGAGCATGTTCAATATTATTTAACGCCTGATTTTCAGAAACTACGGATCGGACTACCTTAATAATGTTTACCAATGTAGTATGACAATGTATATTTTAATTACATGTAACTACAAATAGTAACAAACTTGCATAACAATAACATCGTGCTACCACTGTGTCATTTCATGACAAACAAAAGCAAAAATGCTGCTAACTTTGAAGGCATTATTTTGAATAATTTCATAAAGTACTTTTGTACTTCTGTTCCCTCAAAAGTGTTATAGGTCATTTGAGAAATAATTAATATAACTTAGGCATATGTTCAGTGTCGAGGATTCTTATCATTTGAAATAGATACGGACTAAAACAATGTATACCTAAAGAAATCACTCTTCAAAACTATTAATCTTGACCAGGGGTTTCACCTGACCCTTCAATTTTGGACTTATTGAGCGTCATCGTTTTTGTAATACATATGTATATGTATGTTGCTATTTGCCTTTTTTGTAAACTGATGGGCTGTATTGCCCAAAATTATATTCTGAATAAACTATATATGACCATAGATCTTTAAGAAGGGATTCTTGTCTGCTGGGTTCTGTCTATATGAAATATTCAATTAAGTATATTTACTTATGCTTTATATATTTAGATGTAAGGGATCTAACGGATCACATCTTTCTTTCTGCATCACGATTTTACAAATTAAAATAGAATTGGTAAACTGGGTTTGAAAGGGACTATATTACTGGTGGATCGGTGGAGTAAGAATATATTTTCTTTTCTGCTTTTTAAAATTATTAAAGAACGGTGAATTTGGTTAATATTTTAGTCAATCAAAAAAAAGTAAGTTAAATATATAAAAAGGAACTTTAATTTTTAAAGTACATCAAATAAAAATGATTTTCCAAACAAACTGCAATTAAGCTTCCAACCTAAATATAGACTTAAGCCAAAAATCCATATAGATTTTTTTTCTTTTCTTAGAAAACGTTCAAAACTTTTTTGTTTTTGCATCATTTTGTATCTTTAACTTTACCATATATATGTGTAAAAGAATTAGAAGAAAAAAAAAACTAGTATACTACGCATTTGGAAATGAATAATATATCCTAAAATATTAAGAAAAATAGAGAAAATATCTTTTTTAGTTAAATA